TCTCTCTCTCTCTCTCTCTCTCTCTCTCTCTCTCTCACACACACACACACACACACACACAAGTCCACACCACTACTTTCTTACAAATCTTTTGTGTTGCCAAACCAATAGAACAGCTATATATCTCCATAAAAGTACTTGCTATATTCACGACTTTAAGAGTTTGCCAGGCTGTAAGGATTGTAGGCAAAAATATACTGCTTTTAAGGTATATTTAGAATAGGAATAAAATAGAATAGAAAATATGGAATGGAATAGAATAGAGCAGAGCTGTAAGGGACCTTGGAGGTCTTCTAGTCCAGCCCCCTGCTCAAGCAGGAGGACCTATACAATCTCGGACAAGTGATTGTCCATTCTTTTCTTTAAAATCTCCAGTGATGGAGTGCCCGCGATTTCTGACTTTTGATGCTATCTTTGGGGGTGTCATTTAGTCTCTGCACATTTTAAAATCTCTAGACATTTAATTGGAATGAAGGGAGGGGGGATGTATACATTTGAAAAACAGTTCCTCTCGGTGAATTATTGAAGGCCATTCCCCCCACCCCACCCAAATTTTCTTTTACCCACTCTCGTGCTAAGCTCTTTGGCCATGAACAGACCTCTCTCTTTCACTTGCTCAGAGCCATCTGTTGCTCCAGCCTTCATTTATCATGGAGAATCTCAAGTGGAACATAATCCTCATTTCCTTGGACCAAAGACATATTATATTTCTTCCTGGGTGGATGGTTGAGTCACCTCATTAGTTCAGCATCTTCTCTATACCAAAGCAACATGCTAAATTTTCTATGTATGTACAGGAGAGTAAATACGCAGCAGCTGTGCTGTTTAGAAAGATATTACCTAAGAACAGCATATAAACAAAGAAATTAGTTTATTGTTACAGTCTCAATTGTCCAAAGTTCAGACACTTTGCAGCTTAGCTGTGTGATAGTAACTAACTTTTTGGAGACTGCAACAGTCTTCAGACTTATTTGTAAAAATAATAAAGATGGGATACAAATAAATAAAATCCAGTATTAAGAATTCCAGTCTGCTGAATTCCAATTTACTGCTTATACATTCATCTTTCAGCCTTCAAGGAATTTCCATCTAATTGTCCCACTCAATAACTCTGTAAGGCAAGTTGAGAGAGAATGAATGTTGAAATGCCTCCAAAATGTTGTATAGACGAGTGAAGAGACACCAATTTCCAGTCTAATGTTGTAAACATAACGTTTAAAATGTCCAAATTGATTTTCATCTTCTGATGGCTTCAGAGACAGATGGTTTTTTTTTTTTCTGGCAATCTTCTAGGCAGCATTGCAGAAGTGGCTTGACATTGCCTTCTCCTGGGAAGGTTTTTTTGTGATTTCTCAAGTCTAGCCTACAATCTTTGTGTTCATGGAAATTTCCTAGCCATGAAGTGGAGGCCCATAAGTCTTAAAGTTGCCAAGGTTGGACATCCCTAATCTTGAGACTTGTACTTTCTATATCAATATTGTATTTCTAACTGTGTGCACTCCTTCAATAAATGTAGGGCTGGCTGCCAAAATCAACTGTGGAATAAAATCCATAGGATCATATGATGTTTAGCATCTTTGCCTGTCCTGCATTTTCAGTTTGCAAATCATGACTTCACTTTTAATTAACTTTTAAATAAACATTTGTTAAAATAAACAGTATTAAAATAAACAGTGAAGCTTTTTTTGGTATGTTTCAGGTGTACAACAGCCAGGGGTCAAGTGGTTCTTCTGGAAAAGCCTTTAAGGTCCATCTGCAGCTATGGGACACAGCTGGGCAAGAGAGGTAATATTCAAGAACTTAAAAGTCCAATGCAGAAATAATTGGAAGGGGAAATGAACAATAATTTTTTCTATTAGATTCTGTCATTTGAACGCAGGCAGGTTTTCAAGAAGAGATTTTTTTTCATTATCATTTTTTACATCATATTACTGTTTACAAGGCATCTTAAGACTAGTTCTTAACTTCAATTATTTGGAATTTTGAATAAAAAGTGATTTGAAGCATTTTGGAATGTTGGATTTCAGGGGTACAATTGCTAAAAATCGCAGGAAAATGGGTAGTGCCTGCAGTTTACACACACACACACATATACATCAGTGATGGGATTCAAAAATTTTTACTACTGGTTCTGTGGGCGTGGCTTGGTGGGCGTGGCTTGGTGGGCATGGCAGGGGAAGGATACTGCAAGATCCCCATTCCCTCCCCACCCCACTAACCTGCTTTCCAGCTCCATTCTCCTGTGCAGGGCAACCAAAGAAGACCCAGCCAATCAGCTGGGACTCAGGAGGCAGAGAAGAGATGTGGGTGGGGCCAGTCAGAGGTGGGATTTGCCAGTTCTCTGAACTACTCAAAATTTCCGCTGCTGGTTCTCCAGAACTGGTCAGAACCTGCTGAATACCACCTTTGACACACACACACACACACACACAAATACTGTGCATACTCAGACATACATATATGTGTGTGTGTATGTGTGTGTGTACGTATACAAACACAAGTTCTCTGCTTGAAGGTGTGTGAGCCATACACTCAGAAATTCTATATCCCTGTGGATGGACACCTGACTATTATCTCCCTGTGGGGGTTTCCTGTTCATCTTTTTGATATTGAAAGGGAAGTTTATATAACACAAATCCCCATTGGAACGGAACAGTTCATAAGAGAGAAAATGGGAATCGTCCCTGGGGCTGCCTTGTAACCTGGAGGAAGATTTGTGCTTGAGCAGTCATTCTGGGTAAGGGTTGACTACCTCTGTAAAGAGAATATTGAAGCTTTGCCTTGTCATTTGCCTGTTTGCTTGCAGCACTTTTCAAAAACAAGTGCAGCAATGAAACGTTTACCTAATACCCCTTGCTTTCTTCTCCCTGATAGCTCGTGTTGTATATTGATCCTTTTCATTCCTTTTTCTCCTGACAGATTCAGAAGTCTCACCACAGCATTTTTCAGAGATGCCATGGGCTTCCTGCTAATGTTTGATCTCACCAGTCAACAGAGCTTCTTAAATGTCAGAAACTGGATGAGTAAGTGGAAAAAGCAGCTGCCTCTCTTAGCCTTCAGCTCTTTTAGCTTCTGTGGCATTGAACCTGCCGTTTTTAATGCGACAGCTGCCCCCATAAAGAGTGAGATTATGTAAGCTGTCCCTGATACGATTAAACACTCTGCAACAAAAGGCACACAGGTACCTTAGAAGCAATGCATGCTCCTCTCAGAAGTGGCATTCTTTGCCTTGGCCACTGGCTGCAAGGTATTTTTTATGGAAGCTTTAGGAAACTTTGACCTGACAAAGTTGTTTTTCCACTCGGGCACAACTCCCTCCTTGAAGCCTCTAGCATCACCCACCATGTCATGTTTCTGCAAAACGCTGAACCCTGCCCAAACTAGTTTAAACATTACCAAAAGAATGCATGTGAATTGCTTAAAATATATGTATGTGAGTAACAGGTAGCCCTGGATTTAACAACCGTAATTTAGCCCAGAATTAGGGTTAGGGTTGTGGTCGTTATTGAGTTCCTATGTGACTGCACCCAATTTTACAATCTTTTTTGTGGCAGTTGTTAAGCAAAAATGGCAGTCATTACATGAAGGCCATGGTCACTAAAGCAAACCTTTTTTTACTCAATGAGTGATTGTTTTTTCGCAGGAAACTGGAAGTAAATGTCAGAATAGCATAGCATATAGCACAGCACAGTACAGAACAGAACAGAAATCTTTATTGGCCAAGTGTGATTGGACACACAAGGAATTTGTCTTTGGTGCATATGCTCTCAGTGTACATAAGAAAAAATAAAATACATTAATCAAGAATCATAAGATACAACACTTAGTGATAGTCACAGGTTACTATAAGCAATCAAATCATACATGGGTTACTAATATGCAATCAAAACATACTAGGAAAACAAATAAAACAATATAAATTGTAAAGATACAAACAATATGGTTATACTCATAAGTGGGAAGAGATAAGTAATAGGAAGGATGAGAAGAATAATAGTAATACAGTCTTACTAAGTAATTTGACAGAGTTGTGGGAGTTAGTTAGCAAAACTCACCAAAAATTGGTCTTGTGACTGCAGGCTGCTGCGAATGCTTGTAAATGGAAGCTGGTTGCTAAATGGCAATAGAAATAGCCCTTTGACTTTTATACTACTTTAGAGTGCTTTACAGCCCTCTCTAAGTGATTTTACAGAGTCAGCCTATTGCCCTCAACAATCTGTGCCCTCATTTTACCCCCCTCAGAAGGATGGAAGGTTGAGTCAACCTTGAGCCTGGTGGGATTTGAACTGCCAAATTGCAGACAGCCACCAGTCAGCAGAAGTAGCCTGCAGTACTGCACTCTAACCACTACATCACCACGGCTCCTATGCCCCAAATGTGATCATGTGACGGGGGGGGGGGGGCACAGCCAAAGGAACTCCAGAACCAGGTCATAAGTAGCTCAGGAGAGGTCCATCATAGCTTCAAACGGTTGCTAAACAACACCAGTTGTTAATCAAGGACTACCTGCTTTATTCTTGTTGCAGCTGTGATGCAGAGAAGAAAAGCAATTCTTATTGGCATTTACAGATTTATTATCTCGATGTTAATTTGATTGATTGGATGGCCCAACGTATTCTGGGTAATAAGACACTAACCATCCTATTTGTATCATAACGTTTTTTAATGTAAAAATAGGTAATGAATTTGCACATACTTCATCTATCAGCCTTTCCCAGCCAAGTTGAGCAACACAACTGGAAGATACCAGGTTAGGAAAGGCTGAGAGAAACTATGATTTCTGCTCCTCTGTTTCCAGGGGACATTTCTGCACTCCTTACCAAGTTTTTAAATTTTCTTTCTTTAGGCCAGTTGCAAGCAAATGCTTATTGTGAAAACCCTGACATTGTATTAATTGGAAATAAAGCTGACCTATCAGATCAGAGGGAGGTCAATGAAAGACAAGCCAAAGAACTTGCAGACAAATACAGGTAAGGCAAACAAACATGTTGTCCTCTCAGCTAACTCAGGAGGCATTGATGTTCCCATCTGAGTGATGCCAAAGGTGGGATAAAGACACAATGAAATGGCCAAGATATTTGGTTTCAGAGGAAGAAAATCAAGTCTAATGTTTATTTTTTGTTCCTGTTGACGTGAATGATTCTTAAAGTAATCCCCATATGGCTAAGTACTGATGCTAATATAATTTCTTTTTGTGAGAGGGGGAACAGGGATGAGTTCAGCAGACTTGAGGTCCTTTCAGAAAGTGACTTGATATTCTTAACTGTTGAATAAAGTCATTTTGCTTTTGAGGACTAAATGCAAGCTCCCCTTTGAAGGAAAACCTGTAGGTTATTGTTATAACTGTTCTCTCTTGAAATATCTTACCATACTTCTGATGTTTTCCTGCCATAGCATCCCATACTTTGAAACAAGTGCAGCGTCTGGCCAAAATGTGGAGAAAGCTGTGGAGACACTCTTGGACTTAATAATGAAACGAATGGAACAGTGTGTTGACAAGTCTCAGCTCTCTGACACAGCCAATGGTGGAAGTTCAGGAAAACTGATGTCACCTAAATCTGATGAGAAGAAATGTGCTTGTTGACTTGGCCATTCAGGTTGAAGAAAAGGAATGAGAAATCGGAAAGCAACAGAATGACCAAATACTAAATTCAACCTGGAACTCCATGGACCAAATGAGACTACTGTTGTTGTCTTAAGCAAACCTGATTTTTTTTTTCAATGCTGAGAAATCATGCTTCTGCATCCTAACAGGTGTAAACCATCTTCATAGAAAATCCAGAGGCTCTTTTCTTCTTCATACAATAGGCGAGTAAATACAGAAAAATATCTGCTTTGGGGACAGGATCATTGAAATGTTAGGACACACCTTTACAATAAAACAAGGGGTTGTCTTCGTTGGCCTGAGCCATCATTTCTCATATCTCTTTGCCTTCTGTTGTGACCTACATTGTATGTTTGCTAAACAGGTGATGAAAAAACACCCCAAAGAATATATTGTGTGGTTCATTGTAAACATCTTTATGGTTTTGAATACCAAAAAGTTAATTGTTGTTTTATTCAGTTGGATATTCTCATAAGGTAAGATCTGATTAAAATGGCCATATAGTCATTAGGTGGCATTATACGTAGGTGGACTGTAGAAAAATGTCCATACAATATAGTACAGTGTTGGAAAAGATATAAACCACAAGGTTTGCTCAAAGCTGAAAAGTACAATGTGCCTTGAAATACTTGACCAAGTATTTCATTGGTGGCTCTGAGAGTGATATTCTAATGAAATCCCCTTTCATTGAGAGGTCGTATGTATTTATTAAGTTCTATATAGATACAGTTAACATTTCTAATTAGTTCTAATGTTCTTATTAACACATACTTTATATGTACACAGAAGTTTTATTTTTGCTTTTACTTTACCAGCAAAGCACTTCCTAAACATGAAGCTATGTTCAACGTTGATCTGGAATATTAGCTGTCAAAAGCAAAGACTTGATTAACTATATAACGCCTTTCTGTTACTTCCACCATTTAAAATGAGAAAAGCAGGCAGGGCCAGGAACAAAAAAAAAGGAAGTCCCAATAATAATTTTGTCACAGTAGAAATACCGTTAAATGAAGGATATGTACACTTTAGAGGCAAGCATGATAGGATGATGGTGGGATGATGATGATGATGAACCAAATGCAGCTTTTAAAAGAAAAAAAACAGACATTGTCTTTCTACTATGCACCATTTTTCTGTGATGCCATTTCGGGTTTAAAAGGTCTACTTTTGCAGTTCAGCCATTCCAAAATTGTCTGCAACTCCCCTCCACCATTTTTTAAGTTAAAGAGTTCATTTCACGAGGTTCTTCATGTTACCAACCGAAAGCAAAAGAGTTGTTTCTAATATTAATCACAATGCTCTTCATCAGTCTCTCAGTAATTAAAATACATATTTCTGTTTGCAAAATGTGAGCACATTTCCCAAAAGGAGAAATAATGTAGAGGAATATATTTGTGGTGATACCTTAATTTTCATTTTTTTAATCCAATATTGTGATACCTTCAGTACACTTTTAAATGTTTACCGCTTTTTGTAATCTGTAGAACTCATTTTCAGAAATGGGAAATTACAAAATCCCAAAGGTGTCTTCACTTTTTGCTAGTGTTAATTGCTCAGCACTTATATTGGGAAATACTAATGTTTTTGTCTATGAAATCTGGAGTGTATTTGCTTGAGTTCAGAATGCTTTGCTTGAAATCAAGGGCTGGGGGAATACACTTAACTAGTGTTTCTCAACCTTGGCAACTTTTATGATGTGTGAACTTCAACTCCCAAAATTCCCCAATAAGCATACTGGCTGAGGAATTCTAGGCGTTGGAAGTCCATCTGTCTTAAAAATTGCCAAGATTGAGAAAAAATGCACTTAACTAAGTATAAAAAAATAAGAGATTCTTTATGCATTAGCGTGTATCTTTTTTTTTATATGGCCCTACACTGTGAGGAATATTTCATCTCTTTTTCCTACAATTCTGCCATTTTATAACAAAGATATTTTAGCTTTCCAATGGAAGAAGAGAACAATACATCCTTAATATTTCCCAGCTGTTAATACCTACTCAGTGCTTTCCATTGCATAACAGTAAACAGGATTGTCTGTTGCAAAATTTGGGCATATGGCTGACCTAGTGAAGAATCTCAGCTGACTTGTTGAAAGCTGCCATTCAGAACTTTTCTTACATTTAGTTCAACAGTTTTAGATCTTCTGGCTTTGTAAATCTGATCTGGAGGCACGAATATATTCCAGTTGTATTCCAATCTCTCACACTACCTTACATATATTTTGTTATTTACTACCTTGGAGTAGCAACTTAAGAACTCAAAGCTACTCCTAAGGCACAATTATCGTTGGGCATCAACGATAATTGCAATCACGTGCTGGGTTATCTATTAGCATTCCTACAAGATCTGCCCATGCTTCTGTCTCGGCGTAATACCCACGAGTGAATGTTTTATGCATGCATGTTAAAACTTTTGATATTGTGTACACAGAATATTCCCTGGCATTAAGTAAGGCCAAATAGCTGTTGGTTTTGTAGCTGTCATTATGCACACCTGAACTCCTGCATGCATAAAATGTAAATGTTTATAGGGAACATTTATGAGCACAATGTTGAATCCACAAGAACATGTTGACTTCCCAGATCGGCATTATATCATCTCATTTAATAGCCTTTGGAATTGGCTTGATGCAACTAAAAACTTGCCAAGATGGCAATACTGGAATCCATCTTGCATTTTCAATATAAACCCAAAATAAGTTCCTTATCACATCCTTCATTATCTTTCTTTCCTTCATTATCTTTCTTTTATGGCCCTATTTCATCAAGGAGATCAGGAGATATATATATATAGTATATTGATACCAAATATATTGGTGTAGGTTATGTTGCATATTGTAGTTCATAACTGGCACCTCATCAAAGTAATCCTACATATAATTGAGTATTGAGGAATAATTGTAATGACAACACGTTATGCTACTTTTTCCAGTCTTCCTTTTGACTCCTTTCGAGACATGGTATGAAATTCCCTCTTCTGACTTGGTTTCATGAATATCTGAATCAAAATATTGGATGTATGTATGATTAATATACCCATAGCTGTTCACTGCTTATACCCTGTAGTCCAAAAGTATTCAGATGTAATGAGCCAAGTTCTCAAGTGCTTCTGTTGTGCCTTTGATCATCCACAAAGCACACTGAGTCAACAATTATTTTCATAAACCATATATAATTGTTGAGGGGAAAAAATCGAGATAACTGTTAGTTCCATGTAATCATTTTTGCCTGTCTTTATCGACAACCATTGGCATTACATTACAGCAGCTCATACTGCACACAGCTTGATTTCTATGACAGGATCTATGTTTGCTTCATTAACGTCTCTGAGGAGCAAACTTGTCCGATGAAATGCACACGATGTCCCTAATAATTACTGTCCATGGGATAAATCAATATATATTTAAGAGAAGGTTGTCCTGTCACTGAAAATACATTTCTGTACTTGCCCAGCAGCCTCTTAACAAAAGTCTTCTCTACCAAGATTTACGTCGTGTCCAAACAAGCCATTTAGCTCCTGTTTTGTTACGAAAATCCACCTTCCCCAATACAGTTAAGTGTTCTGTAGTCTGGTATTACACTGAAACTGTTCAGCCTTGTTGGTTTCTTCCTCCAGTCCAACTGAGGCAGAATTGGATAGTGTCCCTCAAGGTCAATTTCCTAGATCTGCCCTTGAAGTTCAAGGTTAGAAATCAGGAGGAGTTTGGCTACCATAGATTAACATGGCTCTCCCCCGACAACATCCTCAAAAGTTGGAAGGAATTCTGCCATGTTTTCCTTTCTCTAAAATAAATGCTTGATAGCAGCTCTTCTAAAGGCCAAACTAAACGTATCCCTAATCACGTGGTTATGGCTGATACAAAGGGGATTAATAGGGGGAAAGAAAAGTTATCACAAACGGAAGCACCATTGCAATCACATTCTCAGAAGGGGTGAAGTTGTGCAGTCTGTCTTATGCTGTCTGTTGTTAAATATTCAGGTGTTCTTAACTATAGCTCTCCTCAACTCAGACCATTTAGCACAGGGCTGGCTCTCCAATCTTGGCCATTTTAAGACTTGTGGACTTCAGGTCCACAAGTCGTAAAGGTGCCAAGCTTGGAGATCTCTGATTTAGCACAAAGTCTTTTATGAGATATTTCTTAAGAAACATGGACCCGTCTTCTTCTTACACTTACAAAGACCCTGCCTGAAGCTCTGCTAAACTTGATTCCACACCAACTTTTAAATCAAGAAGCTTCTCGAATCTTAAACTAACTGCCTTCTCTCTATCCTGCAGTGGGATTTTCAGTGTATATAACTGTATAATTCAAGGTACTTTTATGTATTTCTCACAAATATATTTATTGAAATTGTTCTTTTCAGATTTTGATTCAACACTAAGAGCCTCCTGAACCATCAGTTGCTTTTCACCCCCTTTGGCTTTTTTTTTTGCTTTTAGTGTGCCCTTAACTTAGATAACTCTGAGCATGTTTTCTGTTAATCTTTGAGACGGTTCTGTAGAAATTAAAGATTTACATTCTTTGGGCTAAGTGTTTGAATTATCTCTCTCTGGATGGACTGCACTGCCAGCCTAGCAGCACCAGTCATTAACCGTGTTGTATTACTACTACTATGCTGTGGCTTTTCAGTGATATATAAATATGTATTTATATGTGTGCACGTGTGCGTGAGTACACACATATACGTACATACTATCAGACTGTATCCATTGGTGTCTGGGTTTGTACAATATGGCTAAGGAATGTAATTCTGTAGTTTTGTTTCTGCACTGTTCTTTTGAAATTAAAAACTATTCATTTTTAAAGCAGCTGTGGATTATTGTCTTGAAGAGCAAACATGATCTAACGCAGTGGTCCCCAAACTTTTTCAGTCCATCACCCCCTTGGTGCTACAAACTCATCCTTGGTGCCCCCCACCCAGGGGTGGGATTCAAATTTCTGTGGGCATGGCCTAATTTGAGGGTGTGGCTTGCTGGTCACGTGACTGGGTGGCCGTGACTTGCTGCCTGGGTGTGGCTTGCTGGTCACATGACTGGGTAAGTGTTTGGTGGTCATGTGACTGGATGGGTGTGGCCAGGTGACTGGAAAACCAAATAAAAGTGGTCCTCACTTAATGGCCGGTTATTTAGCAAGTGTTCTAATTTATGACCCCATGGCTACTTGACCTATTTTTGGAGTTTTGACAGCCATGAATGTGAATGTGCAGTGAATCACTGCAGTTGTTAAATGAGAAACACGGTCGTTAAGTCAATCTGGTGTCCTCATTGACTTTGCTTGTCAGAATGTCACAAAAGGGGATCACATGACCCTGGGACACCGCAACCGTCATAAATATGAACCAGTTGTCAAGCATCCAGTTGTAAATCATGAACATGGTGAGGATACTGCAATGGTCATAATGGTGAAAAACGGTCATAAGTCACTGTTTTCACTGCCATTGTAACTTTGAACGGTCACTAAATGAACTGTTGTAAGTCAAGGGCTACCTGTATACCCAACCTCTACAGGATCCGGGCTTTATTTAACCCTTAAGTTGTTTATTTGTACATTTTTATCTTGCTTTTTTGCCGTATAAGTGATGGTGAACCCTTTTGTTTTGGTGTGCCGAAAGCGTGTGTGCGCTGGTACTACAATGCAATGCGCCCCGTCCCCCATGCGCAGGCGTATGCAACACCCCCCCCCGCTCCCTTATCTGCACTGCACATGCCCACACCTCCCAGCTGATTTTCAGCCCGTTTGAGACCTTTTTTGGCCTCCCAGAGGCTCGAGGGAAGCCTCTGCAGCCTTTGGAGGCCGAAAAACAGGACCGTTTCATCACTTCTGGTTTCGTCACTTGTGGTATTTCCGGAAGGCCCATTTTTTGCCTTCCCCGAGGCTGCAGAGACTTCCCTTGGGCCCCTGGGAGATCGAAAAAGGCCTCAAATGGGCTGAAAAACATCTGGGAGGCGCTCACATGTGCAGTGCAGGTAAATTTGGCTGGGGCTCATATGCCCACACAAATGGCTCTGTGTGCCACCTGTGGCACTCGTGCCATAGGTTCGCCATCACGGCCATATAAGATTGGAACTTTCCAGCTTGGTGGCTTGGTAGTAGGGGAAGGGAGATAGTTCTGTGTGAGCGGTAGGCGCGTGCGCAAGGATGCGCAGCTCCATTTGCATAAGTAGTGGGCGCTTATCAGATTTTCCGGTTGCTCAAGTGTAGGGAGCAAGAAAGCAGCAAATACCCCCAAATAGGCACACATTTAAGGCAGAAAGACTAATGCAGCTGCGCCCTGAAGGGAGTGGCGAGTGCTCTGTGGTGAGCCCCGCCTTGGAAAACATGATGTTTTTGAGAAAGTGAAGAGAGAAGGTTGGAATGAAACAGAGAAGAAAGAAGTGGATTGCCAGGAATCCAGGTAATCAAATCATGGTTACACTCATTACACTGACAAGGTTGCCTTCAGCTACATTCATAGTTTTTATCCACAATGTACACAATCTTACCTTTATGGTCTTGTGTCTTAAATAATGGATTGAACATTGTACCAGTTATTTATTTTGCTACAGTGCAAAAGATGGCCCAGCCGGATTTAAGCATAAATCTCGCTGTGGGCCAAAGAACCACCAACTTTACCTTTCATTATCACACTGGCCACTGGCCTTGAGATTTTTAGATGCCGTTCTTATCCTGATAACTATACCACGGAGCTTTCTTGGTTTCATGGCGTTGAGATTGTCCATTTCGTCATTACGCTTTGACAGTCTTGGCAAGCGGCTCTTGAAAGGTAATCTGAGGATGTTATCATCATTATAGATAAATAAATAATTTATTCATTTAATTATGGGGAAACTTGCTCTTGCGCTGTCATAAAACAGGGCCTAGCCAAATGTACGATCTGTTTATGAAAGATATATATCTCTCTATATATATCCACTGCTTGATGAACGCCTTAGAAGAGCTCAATGCACAACACTTACATTTTAGCTATTCTAAATCATGACACAGGGATGGCTTCAGGACTGTGGCTTCTCTGTGCTTAGAGGCCCTTCCCAGAGGTGTTTTACTTCCTTCAGAAACATCATTTGTAAAATTATCATTTTACACAACAACGTGATAGTTTGCCAGATTCAAAAACACTAAGGAGAGTGTGTGGGAATGCTGCAAAGAGGTATCTCCGTTCAAGGTTTTCTAAGGCTCGCTTTACTTATAATTCTCCATAAAATATAATACTAAGAGCTGCAATTTGGTGTGATGAGAGGTTGTTTTTTTTCTGTTAGATTGATGCAATCTCCACACAAGTGCACATTCATCTTCTTTCTTTCTCTCGCCTGGTATCCATAATCAGGAAGAGAGAATTCTCACAAAACTAATATTAGTCAGTTGTGGATCAGCTGAACGACATATTAGAGCTCCACATCATATATTTAATCCAGATGCCTTAGTCCACCATAATATTCTTCAGTGTAGATTCAGATGCACGTTACAGAACTTGCAGGAAGTAATTGGTCCTTATGAATTAATGAGCTCTGAAGCCAATCCATTTCCATCACTGGTAGGAACAACCACGGTGCCTCTAATAATGGGCCCATAGATGACTAAAAATGGTCTATCTCCTTCCAATATGTCCCAGCCTCCTGGATGTCTTCTGTCACATCTGAATTTACTTCTTCCCTTAAGAAGACCATCTTGAGATTCCATTCATTAACTCAAAAGATGAAATTTGTTAGGTGACGCCGAAGTGCTGGTAAATCCAATGGAAATGCATAGAAAAGTTATTCTGGAAAGAGATAACCATCCTTTTAGTGGATCTGAGGAAGCTTCAGACCTCGTAGGAATAGGTCAATTGCGTAGTCTGGATATTACAATATACGGCAAGTTCTCATCACTCCTGGAACAAGACAGAGAAACTTTTAATTGAGCAAGATATCATTTTGAGAAGTAGAGCTTAGATCAGGGGTATCAAGCTTAATTTCATTGAGGGCTGCATCACGGTTGTGTTTGACCTCGGGGGGGGGGGGGACTGGGGTAGGTGTGGCTAGAGAGGGCATGGCCAGCTCTATGTCACTCATGTTGGGCATGCCTGTGGTGGCTTGAGCATTCTGCCAGCAAAAACGGGCTCCCAAGCTCCGTTTTCAGCTGCAACAGCCTCCTGCAACCCTCAGTCAGCAAAAACGGAGCTTGGGAGGGTTGCATGTGGCCATTGCGAGCTCCATTTTCAGCTTTGACAGCTCCCTGCAACCCTCTGCCAGTGAAAATGGAGCTCGGGAGGACTGCATACGTCCCTCCTGACCTCCATTTTTTTTCTGGCACAGGCCCCAGGAGCTGGTCTTTCACTGTTTCCACGATGGCCCTGTGGGCCAGATCTAGGCACCCCGTGGGCCAGATCCCACGGGCCTTGAGTTTGACACCCCTGGTTTAGATTGTGGAAATTAATCCTGTATTGACACTATTTGAAAACTCTGGAAGAAGGAGTTATTTCAGAGATCCTAAGAACTATGTTAGATTAGCCATTGTGAGGTTCAGTTGATTTAGCTTAGTTGTGTCATAAAGATTAACAAGGAAGCACAGTGACAATATCTGTCTCTTGATATAAATAAAGATTGCAATACAGAAATCTGTTCCAAATGCAAAACACAAGCAGAGGAGTTTCAGTTTCAGTTTCAGAGCACTAAGCAGCTTTAGTACAGAATAGTTGAGCTAAGCCATGCCCAGGCTCCTTGCTGTCTTCTTCTTGCTTACACAGCAAATACTATTTCAGTTTCCAAACAGCCCTCAACTCTCTCACACACTGACCAGAGGCTAGCCAGATGAATACCGATGGATGCTGGTAGGCAGAGGCAGAATTTCCCCCCCCCTTATTTTCCTCCCCAAAAACTAAGCCCAACCACATCATTTTGTACCAAAGCATGGGTATCAAGCTAGTAATTAATATATTACTTGTTAAGACTATCCTTTCCCAATCTAAACCCTTTTGAAAGTCTATCTTCTGGACTGTTAGCTATTCCTGCCAGCTTGGTGTCATCTGCAAATAGAATAGAATAGATCTAGGCACCCCATGGGCCAGATCCCGCGGGCCTTGAGTTTGACACCCCTGCTTTAGATTGTGGAAATTAATCCTGTATTGACACTATTTGAAAACTCTGGAAGAAGGAGTTATTTCGGAGATCCTAAGAACTGTGTTAGTTTAGCCATTGTCAGGTTCAGTTGATTTAGCTTAGTTGCGTCATAAAGATTAACCAGGAAGCACAGTGACAATATCTGTCTCGATATAAATAAAGATTGCAATACAGTGGTATTATTTGGTTCTCATCATTAATTGGTTCGGGGAGATGCAATGAGTACTAAAAACAGTGAGTACCAAAGAATTTTCCCCCATAAAGAACAATATAGTGAATTACAAGTTCTCACCAACAAGTTCAACCTTGTGTGTTGAGTACCAAACAAACAAGTACTGGGACAAAAGTGTCATGTCAAAATGCACTGAGTACCAAATTTGATGAGTTTCAAAGAGTTGAATACCAAGGTACCACTGTAGTCTGAAAAATGTTTCTTTAAGTGAAAGGTGAACCAGTCTACATGGCAAATAAATTCCAAAGAACTTAGAATTTTAACATGCTCTGTTACTTCATATTTTGTTAGTGATTTTTTTTTAGTTCAGCAATAAAGTAGATCTGAAGTTTAACTTGTCTTGTATAGATCCAACTTCATGACTATTGTTTTCACTCAATAAATAAATTCATGCAATACATTATACTATGTTACATTTAACCATGGTTCTCGGAATAAGCAATAACTATTGATTGGGTACACACAACATATCAACTCCAAA